GGAAACCAATAACACACAATAACACAGAAACGAAGAGAACAATACAAAGAATCAATGCAAAATGTGCTGGGGTAAAAGTGGCACAGAACTTGTGGAAGTAGCCAACCAACAACTAGTCCAGCTACAGACCCACACTGGAAACTACCTGGAGGGCCAAGAACCAGAGGCTGGATAGCCCAGAGACCTAGGATAGAACCAAACACAACTGGCAAAAAAAAAAAAAGTCAACGAAATGATTCCTAATGATATTCTTCTATATTCGTAGACCAGCACCTAGCATAATCATTCATCATCAGAGAGGTTTTGTCCAGCAGATAGGAGCAGATGCCAAGATCCACAGCCAAACATTAGGCAGAACTCAGAGAATCCTGAGGAGGAGGAGGGATTGTATGAGCCAGAAAGGTCAAGGCCACCACAAAACCATGGCTCACAGAATCAACTAACCAGGGTTCATAGGGGCTCAGAGACTGAAGCAACAATCAGGGAGCCTGTATGGGTCTGTGCCATGGACCACCCCAGCCATGTATGGGGGTCCCTGGTATGAGTGTTCTCGAAGATTAGCTGGGTAAGGATTTGACGGTGACAAACAGAAACAAACATAGAGGCAGTTTGAATGTGGATGTATTTTGTAGTTCTCAAGCAATGCTTTTTATAATGAAAAATATCATCTCAGGGGTTGTGTTCAGTGAAGCAATGCCCATCATTGCTATTAGGCACAGTAACACACAACTTATGCAACAATAAATCAGAAAAATCATTTAGGGCTAACCACCTATTTCTAAGATCAGGTTAATGAATTTTTATGATTAGTTATTGATGATATGTTACCTACTTCACAATTGTTTGATAGCTGTTACCTAGTTTTTGTGAGTCTTTGAAATATTGAGCTATTTTGACTTTTTCTTATTAAAAAGCTTCCTTTACCAAACATTAAAACCACTCTCTATCACACATATACAGCCATATGAAATTTTATTGTTGGGAAAGTTTTTGTCAATACTATTACTATTTACTTACATGAATGACGTGAATGATTCGAAAAGCGCTGGTTTTCCTGGAGACAAGGTCATGGTCAGTGACCATGTCTCAGAGGACAGTTTCTCATTTATATCTTTTGTTTGGGATGTCAGCGAAGGCTTTCAGGAACATTTCGTTAATATGAGAAAAGACTAGAAGAATAGAGACTGCCATGAGAACTATGGCTCAGTATTTTTCTCCAGCTGAGAGTTCCACAAGCATTTCCAGGAGACCTCCTTCTTTTGAAGTTATTGCCTTAGTCTGTGGAACTTGTCACACAGAATCTACTGGATTTGGTGTGGCGGGTCTGAGCTAGGTCCTCTGCATGTATGTTGTGTTTGTGTAGTGAGGTGTCCTTATTTTAGGACTCCTAACAGTGGGAGCAGAGGCTGTCTCTGACTCTTTTGCCTGCTTTTGGAACTTTTCTTCCTACTGGATTGCCTTGATATGAGGGTTTGTGCCTAGTGTTATTGTAACTTGTTTTGCCATGTTTGGTTGATATCCCTGGAAGGACTGCTCTCTTCTGAAGGGAAATAGAGAAGTGAATAGATCTAGGTAAGAGAGAAGGGGGAGGGCCTGGGAGGAGAGGAAGAAGGGGCAACTGCGGTTAGGATGTAACATATCCTAATTTATTTATTTATTTATTTATTTATTTATTAATATGATAGAAGAGAGTCCTGAGGCCTGACCTTTTTAATGCAAAAAAAGGGAAGTTCCATGATTCTGCAGGCAGCTGAAAACCTCAAGAAAGCCCTGGACAGGATGATCAACTCAGCAACTGAATCGCTCAAATTGAGACTCAATAAGCTAAAACAAACAATAAAACAAACTCCTGCAGCCTAGTTCATGGGGCTGTGGGATATGGAAACAACTGAATGAGCCTGAGGACACTGGGGGAGTGTACAGTGACAGAACCACCTGTCCTCCTTGAGGTAGTTACATAGCCCAAGGCAACACAATGATGAACTGGCCCTTGGGAGCCTTGAACACCACAGGATAGAGTCCCCATGAATATCAGGAAGATCACAAAGGACAGACATTACTGAGAGAACTGGGCATGAGAGAGCCAGTATTCAATGCCCAGCTTCTTAGGCCTGATAGAACTGTATTCACAAGAGAGCTAGGAGGGCACAGTCAGTTTTGTGCCTGCTGTGCTAACGGGAGGACCTCCATCGGGATCCACAGCACCCACATAGAACCCCAGGTCTTGTGACACATGCCTGAAACCCAGCATTGGGAGTGTGGAGAGAGGAAGATCTCTGGGGCTTGCTGGTGAGACTATCTAGCTGAGTCAGTGGGCTCTAGGTTCAGGGAGAGACTGTGTCTCAAAAAACAAGATGAAGGAGCAACTGAAGAAGACAGCAAATGTTTTCTCTATTTCTATTTTTAATGGCTATACTTTTGATAGAATATTTACTTATACCAGGCTTTTTCTTTTAGGCCACCAACCAGCTCCCAAATCATGACACAGAGACTTATTAGTTATAAATGCTCAGCCTCATCTTAGTTCTTATTTTAATCTGTTTCTCTTTATCTACATTTTGCCTAGAGGCTTTTGTAGGGGTCTACAAAAGCCACGCCTGCTTAGGGTCTGGGTTAATTTTGGATACTTTACACTGTTAAGTTTTAATCCTCTTTTAGACTAAAAGGGGAATTGTAGGGGAACCTGTAGCCATGCCTGCTTAGTAGGGGCTGTCTACAGGTTCCCCTACAGGTTTTTTACCTTTCTTTCCTTCTGTTTGTCATACTTTCACTGCTTCTCATGTCTGGCTGCCTGGCTTCTGGTCCCAAGCATGACTCTTTCTTCCTCATTCTCCTCTTCCTCCTCCTTCTCCTCCTTTTCTCCTTCTTCTCTCATTCTTCTCAAGCCTGGATTTCTCTTCCTAGTTATTCTCTCTGCCCACCAACCCCACCTATCCCTCTCTCTCTGCCTATCTATTGGCTGTTCAGCTCTTTATTAGATACATCAGGTGCCTTAGTCTGGCAAGGTGAAACAAGTGCAATACATCTTTACATAATTAAACAACATCACCTGATGTCTGGGCAGTGTTACCATAGAGGGCATGTCTCAGTCCATGACCCTGCCACAACAAGAATCTGTGTTGATGTTCATGGCTGGTGTTTCCAAGAGCCATGAAGATGTCAGTGGTCTGGGCTGCCACCTGAGGCCATGTTGATATCTGAGGGCCATGCTGATCTGGGTGACCTCTGCTGCCACCTGGGGCAGTAGTAATATCCCGGCCCTTGCTGTTGTCGAGGGCCATGTCTGGGTCTATGGTACTACCATAGCAGGGGTCTGCATTCGTGTCTGTGCCCGATGTTACCACCAAAAGCCATGAAGATGCCTGTGGTCTGGGCTGCCACCTGAAGCGGTGTTGATACCCAAGGGTAGTGCTGAGCTGGCCCCGCCCCTCACCTGGAACTACATGGCAGCACTAGCAATAGCGTGGCCCTGGTAGCATAGGAGGGGTGGCTCTGGTGGTGCAGGAGACCTGGCCCTAACAGTGTGGACTCGGGAGAGATGGCAGAACTATAGCCACAGGATCTCCATGGCTCAAGGCAACAGCAGAATATCCAAGAGGAGTCTAGGTGAGGATCCTGTGATGGTGTAGCCGTTGCCAGGGGCCTTGAAACAGACCAGTAACTCGCAGCAATGAACATTTATAAGCAAAGCTGTTTGGGCAGAGGGTATATATACTGCGTGACACACCATAGCTCCCAGTGCCACTAAAAGGAATGAATATGTGATGGAGAGGCAGGAAAGACAGAGGAGTGGAGTGCTATGTACCTGGCAGGACTGGAGTGGAGACACAGTAGGATATGAGAGAAGGCTGCAGCTAACAAAGAAGCAGGAGCCCAGAGGGGTCGTCAAGATGCTTGTTTGCTTGTTTGTTTTGTTCTGTTTTGAGGGTGAGGTTACAAGGGTGGAGGGCAGACATGGAAAGACTGGGAAATTAGTAGAATTGGGGTACATGACATGAAATTCTCAAAGAATCAATTTAAAACAAATATGTTTTAAAAAATAGTTGCAGCGGGTGGAGTTGTAAACAGACATGGAGACCAGTCAGTCCCACAGGGCGAAAGGCCCAGCTCCCCAGCTTCACCCTGCTATTCAAACAAACATGGTTTGATTTTTCTAAAGTAATAATAGTGAATAAACCTTTTTAAATGAGCTTTATTTTTATTCTTATATTTATCTGATTTGGATATGAGTTTTTCCATAGTTAGGAAATTTTTATTTTTTTTCTAATCTCTTGCTCTTCTCTCTTCCCCTACATGACTTCTCCACTCTCTCCTCTGTCCCTTCATTTATTTAACTTTGTTTCTCAACATTTTTTTTTCCTTGCCCCTTTCCTTTGTCACCAGAGAAAGAGAAAGAATAAAAGCATCTTTCTCTGTTTAACTCAGAGACACTTCCTGTTTTTTTGGAGCTGGCAGTGTTCCAACAAAGCCCTTTATTTATTTTGCTCCAAAAAGCAGTGGCCAGTCACCTAACCTAAGCCAAGGGAGCAAGCAGCATTTGTCCCTGACCACAGAGCTGAATGCAAGCATCAGGAATTACTTTATGTATCAATCCCAGTTCCTTCTCCCTCCCAACCCCCCATGCCCCCCCCGACCCACCCACCCCACCCCCCATCCACTCCCCAGGAAGGATGAGGCTTTCAAAGAGGTTATCATCAAAGTCTGTCAAGTCATTTGGGGCAGGGCCTAGGCCCTCCCCCCTATGTCTGTCTAGGCTAAGAGAGTATCCCTCCATGGAAAATGTGCTCCCGAAGTCCGTTTGCACACTAGGGATAAATACTGGTTCCACTTTGTTTCTGTTTCCAAAACCAGGAAAGGGGCACCGGGCAAAAGAAGGTGTTTGGGAATCAGCTATGAAAAGGGTGCTGAAGAAAACAAATCCCGGAAAGTTGTCCAAGGACAGCGGGGCTCAGCCCCACGTTAAGATGAACCCATTCTTTCCATAAACAGGATGTACATACCGAAAGTTTTGAAAAGTGGAGTCGGCGGCTGGCCGTACTGGAATAAAGCTGTCCACTAGATGGAGCAAGTTTGAAGCAGCTTCAACTAGCAGGTCAAGGCTTAGGAAATTGCCATCTGCTGGCACCAAATAGACATCAGGCAGAAAAAAAAGGGAAAAAAAAAAAATGACTGAACTCACCAGGCCAAAATAAATTAGTGTTCTCCATAGGGGCATACTAATCAAAGCTTCCAGAAGACCATTCAAAACTGCCATTCACATGAAGACATAGCAAAGGTTATCAGAACATCTCTCTGAGAAAAGTAAGTTAATAGACCGATCAAATTTTGCTTTAGGGACTGAAGAGATGGCTCAGAGGTAAGAGCACTGGCTGCTCTTCCAGAGGTCCTGAGTTCAATTTCCAGCAACCACATGGTGGCTCACAACCATCTGTAATGAGAGCTGGTGCCCACTTCCCTGAGTTCAGGCATACATGCAGGCAGAACACTATATACACAGTAAATAATTTTTTTTTAATTTTTTGCTTTAAAAAAAAAGGTTGTTAAAAAAAGGTTGATAAAGTGAAAAAGATGTGGCTACTGACTTGGAGAAAATATTTGCAAATTAAAAATCAGAGCTTATGCATAACATATAAAGATGTCCTAAAACTCAGTAGTAAGAAAACAGGCAACTTGATTTTATAGAGGGCTGAAACTTAAATAGGCATGTTACCAAAAAGAAACACCGATGTCAAATAAGCACTTGACTATACAATCAACACTGGGGGAATTCAAATTAAAAGTTCACACACCTACGAGAATGGGGAAGGATTCCAAATGTGATTTAGGATGCTTAGCAAGAATAACCTTGTCTCACACTGCTGGGAATGATCCAGTCAGGAAATATTTTGCCAGGCTTTGATAATATAAATTCCACATTAACCAACACCAGTACCTGATGTTAGGTACTTACAAAGAAAAATAAAACAGGGCTAGTGAGATAGCTCAGCCGGTAAAGGCACTTGTGGGAAAACATGACACTGCAGTCCAATCTCTGGGACCCATACAGTAAGGAGAGAACCAACTTCAGCAGGTTGTCCTCTCGTCTCCACCTATGTGTATAATATGCATACACATAAATAAATATGTAAAGAAATTTAAGGAAAAATGAAACGTTGTGTTCATATGAAACTTTATACAAAGGGCTAGAGAGGTGGCTCAGTGGGTAAGATCATTCTGAGCAAGCCTGAGGACCTGAGTTCAAATCTCAAGCATGTGCTGGTAACCCCATATTGGGAGTTGGGGGGAAGAGACAGGCAGTGCCAAGACACTTGCTGGACAGCCAGCCTGTCTAAAATGGAAAGCAGATCATTGAGAGACAGTCTCAGGGCAGTAAGTTAGAGAATGACAGAGGACGATTACACCAAGCCTTCTCTGCTCTCTGAATGTTTACACAAGAGCATACACACTCACATGCATTCACCACACACAAATATGACACACACATACACAATTTTAAAACTTCTGCACATGTAACGGTCGTGGTTGCTTAATTCAGAAGAAGAATTTGAAAGCAATCCAAATGCTCATCTGTTGATGGGTAAGCAGGATACGGCACAAGGCTGTAATAAAACAGAACCAAGTGGATACACAGAAGGAAGTACATCTGAAAACACACGCTTTCTAGGAAACAAGCATCAAAGACACTCTCACACACTCAATGGTTTCGTCAACCTAGCATTCCAGAAAAGGCAAAACTGCACTGTCAGAGAACGAATCAGTGGCTCTGAATTGGGAAGATGAGCAATTCTATGAAAGCACACGGTGTCTTAGTGTGGCAGAGCTGCTCTGTACCTTCTTCATCGAAGCCATGAGAACAGCTGTCCCTCATGGTCCCTCTACAACATTTGGAACCAACTCTTCCACACCTTCTCCGATGATTAACTGAAACTCAGCCAAAAGAAACCCATTGGGTTGGCTGCTTTGGTGAAAGTGGTGCCACAGTACCCAACACTCAGCCCAAGCCAAGTAAGATACATATATTCCTTCTGCCAGTCTCCCCACACCCCCTTTAACTTTTGTGTCTTTACTACAGTGCTGTCCTTAAGAGGCATATTTGTTCTCTCCACTTTGCCTCCCTGATAGCGTGCTCACACCTTAGTCCATGTGACTAGAACCTTCCTTCATACTGCATGGGCCTTTCAATCTTCTTGCTTCTGTCTTTTCCTTCTCTGTGCCTTACACTCCTACTTAGCATCCTCTGGGCTCTAGGCTTAGCACCTCACTCCACACTGTGTAGAGTGATCCTGTTCACTACATTCAGAACCGGATGAGTCTGAATTTGATAGACGATGGCCAGGCATAGAAACAGAGATCATGATGACAATCATAGACAGGATGAGGATCATACTTCATATCTTCCAAACCATAACTATAATCTCAAAAATCCTTCCCAGGGAACCAAAGACTGCCAACTGCATCCTGGAGGAAGGGTGGAGCTCTGTGGTGAAGCCATTGCCTATCATGAACAAAGCCCTGAACTGATACCAGAACTGAAAAAGCAAAACACAGTTGAGTTGAATCCCTCTATCTAAGTTCTGAGTTCAGGTGGGTGTTCTTCAAAGAAAAACTTCAGACATGCTCAATATGGCACTTTATTGGAAATTGAAAGCATATATCCATGAAGTAAGATCAAAGTAAGCATCATTTGACACAATACTACCCTAATATCAGTTATCTTCTTACATAACAATAAATCCCAAAATGCCCCTGAGTTGAATGTCAAAGGGCAAGCTTTAATGGTCTAGAAATATCTCTATATAAATATAAACCATAGCATCTAAAATAACCATTGTTGTTTTGAGTCAGGTTCAAGAGTCCTGGGAAATCTCTTGAAATAATGCATACTTTAGATGTTTACTGGAGCTAGAAGGGCTGGGGATGTAGCTCAGAGGCAGATCACGGCCCTAGGTTCTCCAGTGCCACAAAAAATTAGTAACAATAACATGTAGCTAATAACAACAAAGTTCAGACATAGGGAAATCCTCTACTGTGAGGTACATAAAGGAGCTGAAATGCTGAGCAGAAAACTTAGCCACCCTGCATTTCCAACAGAGACCTGAGACTCAGTGCAGGTCATCACACCACCTCCTTTGGCACTGCTAAATTATGGCAAGCTCTCCTTCGGGTTATACAGGGCAGAATTTGGCAGAGAAGTTCTTGAAACTTATGCTCATCTCTCTCTTCCCCTGCCATACATACTAGCTCCTTCTCTCCTAGAGGTTTCATGGGGAAAAAAAAAGTTTGGTTTGCTAAGGATGGGTTACACTGTCAAGGTTTGGCGTGAGGGGCACTGGCCAAAGCTGCTCTTTCACAGTCTGCCTTGCCTCCTTTACCATCAGCAGCTTCAAGGGTCTTTGATTCTTCAAAGCTTCTCATTGCACAACACAACACCTGTGTGGCTTCCACTGCTCACAAACAGCTTTCACCTCCACTAAGTCACATGGCTTTCAACCCTGTGAAGTAGGAGGGCAGGGATTATGACCCCTAGTTGAAAGCTAAGGAGTTTGGAACCCACAAAGTTAGGTTCATTGATCAAATCCACGCTGTGGGCTAGCTGCAGAATCAAAACTAAAACAAAAGTTCAACTCCTGAGTCTTCCCCACTGTCTTTCGGAGAACAGGCCGAGGGAGAGACTTGTGTCCTTATCACACAACATCCCACTTTCAAGGGTCTCATACAGCCCCATTGAGAACTGGATGAGTCCGCATTCGATAAATGATGACTGCAGTGGCTGGACACAGAAACAAAGAGGTCATGATGACAATGGTAGCCAGGATGATGAGGACAATGGCCCAGATATCCAGGATGTGCTTGGGAAGCAGGACATCCACAGGTGATTGGCTGATAGCATCCATGTTGGCCCTGGAATGGACAGGAAAGGAAAGTCAGTTTCGTGCACCCTCTCCCTACCTCCCTCCTAGGAAGGAGATCTCAAGGAGTCAGAGTTGCTGTGACCATTAGTGGTGATGATAATGGCATCATTTGCTGGGGCATCCTATTACCAAGAACATGCAAAACACTCTTTAATATTTATTTTTATTACGTGTGTGTGTGTGTGTGTGTGTCTGTGTGTGTCTGTGTCTGTGTCTGT